GACACTGGATGTTTCATATTAGCATTTTTGAATCTGTGACTGCAAATCCACACTATATGCTGTAAGCCTTCTAATGTTATGTCTTTTATCCTTTTTTGTTGGAGTTCATTTTGTTGTCTGACTATATCTATGTCATTACTGACAGGAACACTTGGTGAAGCAGGGAATGAAAGCAGACCAAGCAGCCTCACTAGTTGAGATGACATCTGCTAAGTGCAATGCCGTTAAATATGATGTGGAGCTAGCAGAAGAGTACATTGCCAGACAGGTACTAAATACAATGTAGTTACTGATGTGTGTTTCAACTGTTCTTCAAAGTTTTGAATTTCTTTATCAGTGTTTGACGACTTTATTCCGTTACAGATTTCCACTTTCTCCAGTGTAGACCCAAACTCCATTCTTCCACTTCATCAGTTACCCTCTCTACAAGCCATCTATACACTGGACGCAGTCATCTCTAAAGTCCAGGTTTCCTTAGATGAACATATGTCAAAGGTTGCCGTTGAAGCAGATACCAACAAGTCTTCTGAGATCACAAAGAACCTGTTGCCTGCCACGCTACAGCTCACTGACGTATACACAGCCTTCACAAGGTGAGAATGACTTTAATTGTGAAAAGCTGCAGTGAGAGATTGTTCGGTCACTGTTTCATCCTTATAAGACAATATTTAAAGCAATCACATTTTATTTGTATAGGCCGTTTTCACAAATCAGTTTAATTCATAGGGTCTATTCAGGAACAATTGTCTGTATATAAACAAATAGAAAAGGCTGACTTTAAAAACTGCCATGTGGAGCTCCCGTCCTGTTTTTCATCTCCAATCATATGTTTTAAAGGTTTTATTTCAAATATTTACAATATTAACTATGTACTGGACTGTTTCCTCTTTTTGCTTTTTTAAAATGTCATCACTTCCTTACATTTTGCAAGCAGCACAACATTGTAATACAACCTCCAAGCCAAACTATTTTCCAAATATTGAATCCAATAAGTAAATAAATGTGTATTAATCATTTTATTTCAAAGAGTTAAATCTTAAATCCTAAAACATGCATATCTGTTTTGGAAAAGTAAGGGAATCTTCCATCTGTTTAGAATTCTCTTAACCTTATCGAATAATCAAACCGTGTCCAGGTCTTACCTGCTGATGAACATCCCAGAAGAGGGAGAAAACAAGCTGACAGATGCCAAGCTCCAAGGTTATGCTGCAGTTCTGTCTATTGGCTCTACTCGCTGCAAAGCCAACGTGCTGGGTATGTGGAAGAATCACTCAAGAATACATTTGTTTAACGAAACTTGAGCTTTGACAACTTCCCTGTAAACTCACTGTTTTAACCTGAACTTTGAATATGAAACTTTTACAGGTCATAGCATTATGCAGAACTTGCCATCGGCAGTGCAGACAATATGTGAGACTTGGAACAGCATCCACACCAATGAATTCCCCAACATTGGCTCATGGGTACGTGAGTGAAGATGATGCTCTCTGCTGTTTAACTTCTTCAATCTTTGTTAACACCTTAATAAAGAAAAATAGGAATATCGGCTCTGGCTAACTCATGCTTAGATTACTATATTTTTGTGTTGGTCATTTTATTTATTCATTTATTTATTTCAATATATAATTTATTTTATATCCAGTTGAATTTAATATTGTATGTTCATTTTGAATTGTATATTTTACTGAACTATTAAATACCTTAAAGTATCTAATAGATATCGAGATAAAAGTAATTGTATCAGCATTGGTTAGAGTAATAATCTGGGCTTTTCTCTTTTTCAGCGAAATGCATTTGCCAATGATACCATTCCATCAGAGAGTTACATCAGTGCTATCCAAGCAGCTCACCTGGGCACACTGAGTTGTCAGTCCTTGCCTCTGGCCTCTTCTCTTAAACACATCTTACTTTCGCTGGTTCGCCTCACTGGGGATCTCATTGTGTAAGTGTTTGTCCATTCTTGTTTAAAATCTGAATCCTTAAACATCTAACAAATAATATGTGATGAATATAGTTAATTAATTAAAGTAAGTTTTCGCTGCATGTTTGTGTCCCCAGCACAGAGGAGCTGAATCCAACACAGGCTGTGCGCAGTCTGCTGCCCCTCCTCCTGGAGAGCAGCACAGAGAGTGTGGCTGAGATTAGTAGCACATCACTGGAGCGTATCCTCGGCCCATCAGAGTCAGATGCGTTTTTAGCTCGCATCTATGAGCGCTTGGTGACTGGGTGCTACAACATCATTGCCATTCACTCAGACCCGAACAGGTTGGTGAGCTTGTTAAGTCTGCATTAAAGGACCAGTGTGTGGGGTTTTGGAAGAAATTTAACATAAGGTCCAAAATATCAGTTCTAATCGACTGAACCAAAGACCTAGTGTGTTTTTGTTAGTTTAGAATGAATCCTGTAGTGCATGGGGTGTCCTCCTCCGTGTTACACCTTCATGTTTCCACTGTAGCCTACAACAAGCAAACACAACACGGGCTCTTGGGTCTTTCGCATTTGTATGTTACCTGAAGGCCATGGTAGGTTCTCCTACATGCATGGAAGAGTGAGGGGTATTCACCTGGTTGCATTATGCGATCAACCATCAGATGCTACATCCTATACGCTGGTCTTTTTTTACAACATATTTGTAATGATAAACATTGAATCATAACACTTTTTTGTTTGATATTGGTGTTGGTAGTGACTGTACGCACTGAGAATAATGCATCATAGTGTGACCTTTTGTAGCTTTTAGCCCACTTTTGTGTTTACATGCCTCCACATTTATTGTCTGTGTTTTTCTAGTGGTTTGGATGAGTCTGTTCTAGAGGAGTGCCTTCAGTATCTTGAAAAACAGCTTGAGAGCAGTCAAGTCCGCAAGGCCATGGAAGAGTTCTTTTCATTCAGGTATCTGCTCGTCTGATAACTCATGAAGCATTATTACACATTTATGCATGTACCATAATCATTTTGTGCGCTTATTTTTTCAGAGGTGAGCTTGTGCAGATTATGATGGCAACAGCCAATGAAAACCTGTCAGCGAAGTTCTGCAACAGGGTGCTAAAGTTCTTCACCAAGCTTTTCCAACTCAGTAAGTCTACTGTCGTCAAATAATTTTCATTAAGAAAAGTACTGACAAGGTTTGATGGTAGATAGAAATGGGGGTGGAGTTCCACACACACTTAATTTGTAGTGTCAAAAATCAGAAATCTTGACATCTGCAACTTGCAGATGCATCAGATGTCTCTATAAACTTAAATCTCATGATCATGCTGTTGTTTCCAGCGGAGAAAAGCCCAAACCCCAGCCTGTTGTGTCTGTGTGGCTCTCTGGCCCAGCTGGCCTGTGTGGAGCCCTCTCGTCTGCAGTCCTGGCTGACACGCATGACGGCTACACCACCAAAGGACTCAGAGCAACTGGAAATAGTGCAGGAAAACCGACAGCTTTTGCAGCTGCTCACCACTTATATTGTACGTGACAACAGCCAGGTGGGAGAGGGAGTGTGCACGGTCCTCCTCAGCACGCTCATTCCAATGGCAACAGACATGCTGGCCCATGGAGATGGTACAGGCTTTCCCGAGCTCATGGTCATAATGGCCACACTTGCCAGTGCTGGACAGGGGGCCGGTCACCTGCAACTACACAGGGCAGCTATCGACTGGCTGACCAGATGGTAAGAAATCAGTTTCACAGGCCCGCCGATTGAATTTACATTTGGGAACTGCCTGCTTATTTACTCAGTACTCAATTTTGTAGTCACAAATTGCTTGGTAATGGGACATAAATATTTATGTATATTGTTTTGCTTAATTCACCTAACCCCTCAAACTATGATCATTCAGTTAGGATTATACATTTTAGAATATATATTTAGATTGCTTTATGTTTTTTCTGCAGCAAAAAGTATTTGACACAGAAGAATGTGGTGGAAAAAGTCAGCACAAATGTGTCCCAAGGAAAGGTAAGTGCAGCACTTTATAAATACCCTTCAGCCAAGTGTGGTTGTGTTTTAAACACTAAACTTACTTGTTATCCTTTTAACTTCTCTAAATGGAGGCATTAGCTTTTTCTCCATTAACCGTCATGTCGTGATTTGTACCTGTGCCTTTATTTCAGCACGCAAGCATGCTGGAATGCTCATGCCATATCATCTCCTATCTGGCTGATGTGATGAATGCCTTGCGCCAGAGCAGTGGACAAGGCACCTCAGCACTGCTGATGGAGGGAGAAGAGAAGGCCATGGAAGTGGACTCAGACTGGGTGGAGGAGCTTGCAGTAGAAGAGGATGATTCCCAGGCAGAGGACTCTGTGAGAATTCATCTCTTTAAATCTGTCCTCCTCAAACAGGGTCATGTTTTATATATTTGCAGTAAACAGACCTGAATGTAAAATGGAATATTTGTGGGAGTAGTTGTTAAAACTAGTACAAAAAAAAGATCTATGCTGAGTGGGCCACTTTGTAATCTCGTATTTATTTATTGTTTAATCAGGAAATAGAAAAAGTTGCTTTAAACCAGTTGAATACCACTAGTCCCAGAAAACTTATTAATATTTTAATGTTGTGGTGCACAGTATGTTTTGGCTCTTAGTGTAGCTCAGGGGCATTTTCCAGTACAGCAAAAAATTATCTGCTACTAACTTGGTTGTTAACTTTAAAAAAGCAACTCTGTGTCTTAGTTCTTGTTAGATAAACAAAAAACAGTCTTTGAGAACATCCAGTCAGGTCTGTTCAGAGACTGAATAGCATTACAGTATGACATATGATATGAGTTTAATAACACTTGATTTTCTCTCAAAGGGCTTTTGTTGGCTTTACTTCATTTCCTCCATCAGTTGTCAAATAGAACCTTGACTTAACATGTTTGTCATTGTTTGATAGGATGAAGACTCCTTGTGCAACAAACTCTGCACCTTCACCATCACTCAGAAGGAATTCATGAACCAGCACTGGTAAAAACAAAAAAGAAGTTGATTGTTTCCCGTGATTTCAGTTTCAAGTTCAGAGGTCATTTTTTGTCTTCTTAAACATTGACAATTTCGCAGGCAATTGGTCTTTTGGTACAATTTAGAAAGCACAGAAATCTTCCATAGCTCAGAATAAAAAAGTAGGTCATAAAAATCACAATAGGTTTACATGAATCAAAAATGTTGGCATTTGTTTAAAACAGTGGAAAGCCACAGCATTTTCAGAGTGAAGAAACGATGCACAAAATAATACTCATCTGTGATGTAGTTGAGTAAATGACAGGAAGATTTAATCTATAATCAAAACCTTACATGCGAGCAGCACATTTTAAGGATTTGTTAGATGTGGTCTTGTTGATTTTCTCTGCATCTGTCAGGTACATACACAAAGGAGCTTAAGATGTGGGCATTACAAAAAATCATTTTTGTTTCCTGCTTTATGTGCTTCAGGACTTAATATAGAAAGAGACTCTGCAGATGACATTCCTTACTAAAACTGACATGTTATACACAGCCTGCCATGTTCCTTTTCATTCTGCAGGTACCACTGTCACACCTGTAAGATGGTGGATGGGGTAGGTGTGTGCACAGTGTGCGCCAAGGTCTGTCACAAAGACCATGAGATCTCCTATGCCAAATATGGCTCTTTCTTCTGTGACTGCGGTGCCAAAGAGGATGGCAGCTGCCAGGTGAGACCGAATACCTCAGGTCATCATGGGAAGAGAACAACAGCGGTAACTTTGGCTTGCAAGTCATTCTCCCATTGACTTCCATCCAGTCATTTCATTTGGTCAGGGTAATAGCTAGCCCACAAATGTGGCGAGAAATCATGTTACAAATGTATGTTGTCAACTTTTGTGTAAAGAAAAGGCCAGCTTTCCTAGTTAAGGTTAAATGAAGGGATCTCTGAATGTGCATGTAATAAGAAACAAACCATCAACTACATTTAACCTTCAGTTTAGTCTGATAAGATGTATGTGTTTGCATTATTTTTTTGTGTTTGCAACATTTCCTTCTGTGTTAGTCTTGTGATTTATATTGAGTCATAATTCGTCTTTTTCACTCTAGCATTGATATACATCATGAGTTGAGCTATCCCACAAGGGCATAATGAAGTATATTTTACTGATATTCCGAAAATACCCTCTAAGAGTCTAGTTAATTGTTCCAGTGCTACCAAGGGTCTCTTTCAATTTGTGATTTTAGTTTTCCTGTGAAAGCAGTTTAGATAGAATGTGTTGGATGCAACACAATCTTAATGACAATATTTTTTACTTTAGACTCTGCTTAGTGGAGAAGCTAATGAAAACAAAATCAAGTAATTCTTATTGTAAAGAAGTTAAACAATGATGATGCTATAATGTGAAAATCTTGTATAGGATGCGCTTTATTTAAACATTTATCAATGCTTGAACAGAAAATGTTGCTCTTCTCACTTCTCTACTTTGTGTTGTATCATTTACAGGCCTTGGTCAAACGCAGCCCCAGCAGTGGCATGGGCTCCACTCTCAAAGAGTCTTCTGCGTTCCAGAGTGAACTGCGTATGCCGGAGAGTGCTATCCGCCACCAGAATGCCTCACCCTCCGACAAGGGCAAGGTCACGATCTGCGACGGCAAACCTGGTGATGAGGACAGACCTAAAAAGAGCAGTGTGTGCAAAAGCGTTGAGGGCTGTCAGGAAGAGTTGCTAGCACAAGTGGTGAGAGAAAATGTGGACTTTTAAGATTCCTTCTACATGCTAAGCACAGTATATTCTGTTACTCACATTTTGGCTCTGGTTTTCCACGGCAGATTGGATCATCCACTGCAGCAGCCATACTGGAGATGCTCATGTTTCTCATGGAAGCCATCCAGACCAACTTCCAGCAGGCATCAGCAGTGGGAAGCAGCAGCCGGGCTCAGCAAGCCCTCAATGAACTACACACTCAAGACAAAAACGTCGAGATGACAGACCAGTTAATGGTATGATGGTTTTTAGAGTTTGATGGAGTTACGAAAATCACCTTGATTTGACAAGTAACCCTCTGTTGTTTTGTGTTGATTATCAATCTCTCTTTTTCTCAGGTGCCCACACTCGGCTCTCAGGAGGGGGCTTTTGAGAATGTGAGGATGAACTACAGTGGTGACCAGGGGCAAACAATACGGCAGCTCATCAGTGCACATGTCCTGCGGCGTGTTGCCATGTGTGTCTTATCTTCCCCCCATGGCCGGCGCCAGCACCTTGCAGTCAGCCATGAAAAAGGAAAGGTAAGTGACACAAACCAGTTAACAAAATCCCATTTTTCTCTTTGGTTCCCTTAAAGAAGCTTTAGAGGAGAATTATTTGTCAATCTAAGTTTTCAAACAAGATTGGACACATTGGCAGTCAAAGCTAGCACATCTGTTTATGCGTTATGCAAATGTGATTTTTTTTTTTTGTTGCTGATTTCACTTTTGTTACAAATACCCATTAAAGTTGCAATTTGCTTGTTTCCATGTTACAACACCCCAACATGTATTTTCCTGTATTTCCAATTTGACAGATAACAGTTCTGCAGTTGTCCACTCTCCTGAAGCAAGCTGACTCGAGCAAGAGGAAGCTAACACTGACCCGTCTGGCCTCTGCCCCAGTCCCTTTCACTGTCCTCAGTCTGACAGGCAATCCTTGTAATGAAGATTATTTGGCTGTGTGCGGCCTCAAGGTCAGTAGTGGATTGGATTGTTGTCTCAAAAGTTATTATTTTATTACAGTTACTAAGCATACAAACAAAGGAACAATGTAGGTGTGGTTTTGCAGAGAAGAAGAATCCTTCATTATTGTAGATTCCATAGTAGATAGTCCTTTAGGTTACACAAAACTCTTAAATTGAATATTTTGTAATTTGTTAGTACTTTAGAGTTCTGGTATTTGACTGTCTTGTTTTTTCTGCAGGACTGCCATGTGCTAACTTTCAGCAGCACAGGGTCTGTGTCAGACCATCTGGTTTTGCACCCACAACTGGCTACTGGCAACTTCATCATTAAAGCTGTCTGGTTACCAGGCTCACAGACTGAACTTGCCATCATCACTGCTGACTTTGTAAAGGTATGTTTTAAGAGAATAGTTGAATGTGTACTGAATACCTGTTGGTATTATTGTTGATGTGATTTAAAAGTTATTGCTGAGTAGGAGACAATCACGATTGTTAAACATGATGACTACATCCTACTGATTTTTGCATGATGGGAAAAATGCTACTCGTCTTTATATATATATTTCTCTGTTGCTTCACAGATATACGACTTGTCAGTAGATGCCCTGAGTCCAATGTACTACTTCCTGCTTCCAAGTTCCAAGATCCGTGATGCTACATTCCTTTTCAATGAGGAAGGGAAGAACATTATCGTCATTATGTCTTCAGCAGGTTATATGTACACACAGATCATGGACGAATCAAGCAGTGCCCAACACGGGCCTTTCTACGTCACAAATGTTTTGGAGATAAACCACGAAGACTTGAAGGTAAGTTGGCCATAAATTGTACCTTTCAAATCCTGTGATGTGCTGAATGTTATCACATCAGTAGCTGAAGAAATCACTGCTCGATGAAAGAATCTACAACAATATATCTTCTTTCTGTGTTTCTCCAGGATAGCAACGGGCAGGTCGCTGGGGGTGGTGTGTCAGTCTACTACTCTCATGTGCTTCAGATGCTTTTCTTCAGCTACAGTCAGGGAAAGTCCTTTGCTGCCACAGTGAGCCGGAGCACATCCGAGGTGCAGAGGCTTTTCACCATCAACGTCAAAGGGTAACTACTCTTCTTCATCAAACACAGTCTGATGCTACTGCACTGGATATGGGAAAATGGAATTGGCCACTATGTCACCATCTCTGTCTTTTCTTCCTGTCCTTTTAAGCTCTAACGGCGGTAGCAGTAAGATGTCACCGGCTCTGTGCCAATGGTCCGAGGTCATGAACCACCCGGGTCTGGTGTGCTGTGTGCAGCAGACGACAGGCATCCCGCTGGTGATCATGGTCAAACCTGACACTTTCCTCATCCAAGAGATCAAAACTCTGCCAGCCAAAGCTAAGGTAATGTGAAATGAGCTGCTCTAACATAGAACTGTCACATACAGTAAAAACATAGTAATGAGAATGATAAAAGAAATAAAATAGGAAAAGGAAAGAACATGTTTCTCTGAGTTCAGTGGTCCTATTCTGTATATTCGCAGGATGAAGCTTTTTATGTCTGCTTCACAATATAAAATACATACATTTTTGGTAAACTGGTAAAATTTTAGTTGGATGTTGATGAAACACAGTACCAATAAGTGATACATGTAAATAGTAATTGTGAAACTTTGTATGTTTTCCAAAAATTAATTTATTCTCTCTCTTCACCAGATTCAAGACATGGTAGCTATTCGGCACACAGCCAGTAACGAGCAGCAGCGCACTACCATGATCCTTCTCTGTGAAGATGGAAGCCTGCGAATCTACATGGCCAATGTGGACAACACCTCTTACTGGCTCCAGCCCTCACTGCAGCCCAGCTGTGGCATCAGTATTATGAAGCCAGTCCGCAAGCGCAAAGCAGCTGCTACCAGTGAGTCTGAGAAATGAAGAACAACTATTCTTGGTCACAGGAATCATAATCATGGAACATTGAAGAATAACACATAGAATGTTTATCAGACTATATCAGACAAAATAAGTCCTCATCACAAACAATGTCTGAAGAAAAAGCTAACTTACATATTGTATGCTGTGTCCCTGGAAAATGTTCATATATTAATGTAATGGTTTACTTTCAGCCACCCGGACTTCCAGTCAGGTGACATTTCCAGTGGACTTCTTTGAACACAACCAGCAGCTGACAGAGGTGGAGTTTGGGGGCAATGACTTGCTGCAGGTCTACAATGGACAGCAGATCAAACACAGGCTCAACTCCACTGGGATGTATGTGGCCAACACAAAGGTAACAAAGTTTTACGATTCTGTCTTAAAAAAAACGACTGCTCTGCTTTTTTCTAATGGAGTGAATTACTGCTGTCAGTTATCTGTTAGCTTCTTTTTTCTATTTTTAATTAAAAGCACAGATAATATGCTGCAAGTGAAACTAATTAACAGCTAAAACGAAGTTAACTAAATAAATAACCAACGTTAGCCTCGATTTAACAGTGGAGCTGTGAAATGTGAGGCCATGCAGGCTCAGATAGATAAATTAGGTGCACTTACAGAGAGGTTGTCTAAAATCTGGTTGTTTTCTTCTAGCCTGGGGGATTCACAGTGGAAGCTGTCAACAACAACAGTTCAATGGTGATGACGGGCATGCGGGTGCAAGTGGGCACTCAGGCCATTGAGAGGGCTCCTTCCTATGCGGAGGTCTTTGGCCGCACCATGCAGATAAACCTGACAAGAGCCCGATGGTTTGACTTCCCCTTCACTAGAGAGGAGGCCCTGCAGGCGGACAAGAAGCTGTCCATCTTTAGTAAGTGCCAGAGTTAGCTGGGATGATGATTTCTTTCTGCCACCTCTATAGTCTCAATTATATGCACTGCCTATTATTTTAGTCATTATTGTAGCTTCTTGTAGCTGCTCTGCAAGTTACAAGCATTTTCACAAAAAAGTAAAAGCTCACCTCTTGTGTTCACGTCTGTGTTCCTTTCATCTCTATTCAGCCTTTCAATACCAAGATTGCCATATGTATGTTTTTGCGTAATACTTGGACTATATTTAAAAATACGGTGCATTTTACTTTCACTGCCCTTCTTGGCTTCCTTCAAAACAGTGCAAAATGTTAAATGAAATACTATTTCTTATTTGTCCAAAAAGAGCACATATTGAGTGTCTGAAATTGGTTTGCAGCAAAATGTAATTATTAATAAGTGTACTCAACTGCTCCCTTGAACTTGGATACCTTTCTGCAGACTGTTTTCAAACCATCTACTAATTCAGATTCATCTTTCTTTTTCTTTTACAGTTGGGGCGTCTGTTGACCCAGCTGGAGTCACAATGCTTGATTCAATCAAGATCTATGGTAAAACCAAGGAGCAGTTTGGCTGGCCTGAGGATCCACCAGAGGACTTTTCCTCTGCTTCGGTTAACAATGTCTGCAGCCCGAACCTCAACCAAGGCAATGGTGCTTCTGATGGAGACATAGCCACCCCAACTACCACTAGCGGCAGTGTACTAGAGAGGTATGTGTTTTACACTTACGGTTTAAGTTTAAGTATACAGATCTCAATCCCCTGTTGTTCAGTTAATCACACATGATCTGATGAGACAGTTTGACAATTTATTGGACTTAATAATAAACCAATTTTTCACTTTTCAACTACCTTTAATCTACACTCTCCGATTTTGAGATAGCATATATACGTCTGTCCTTTGTCCTGTGGCTATATAAGATAATTGATAATCATGCAGTAAGCTGCACTGATGTATATAATATACATGAATGTTGCGATGTTATAGGTTCATATCACCCACTATTTCTTTACCCTTCATGGGTCCAGCTATGTGGGGCAGGAGTTGTTGAGGATGAGCAGGTGTTAGGCTCTCTTTAGAGTATTTAGTGCATGGCTATCGTGATGTCATCTTTTCTTGCATGCTTCTCTTTTGTTAAACTGAATCATTTAATTCCACTTGTTTCTTTCTGTGAACCTCACACTTTTTTGTTCTTTTTCTTTTGCTCCCAAAAATACAATAAAAAGTTGTGAAACTGAGTCCTTATCAACCTTGGACCGGTTAGTAACTGCCCTTTCTCTGCTTGTTTGTACGGTTTTGTGCATGTGTGCCAGTATGTGTGTCCTTGCTTGAGACTGTGAACATGCCACGCACCATCTCCACGCTTGTACAACAACATTTTTTCTTTTCCTTACTGCATTTATTCTTGCGTTCAGTGTTGTTTTGGCATTTAGAATAGCACAGACTGCAGCAAGTTGAGATTTTGTTTTTGTTTGATGGTTTGGTCAAGTTAAGGTGAAACCATCAGGAGCCGTCTGTTGATCTTGCTTCTTGTTTCAGGTTGGTGGTCAGTTCCCTAGAGTCTTTGGAAAGTTGCTTTGCAGTAGGTTCCTCCAGTGAAAAGGTAAATGAATAGAGATTATAAAAGCATTATTGAAAGAAAGTCCTGTTTAAAACTGTCTTGTGCTGAATTGGTAACTACAAGTCTTGTGGTTGCCTCTTTGTAGGAGAAGAATAAGGCTGCAGCTTTGGAGTTAGCCACTCTACTACTGTCCATGCCGACCCCTGCAGGTGTGCAGCAGCAGACCAAGGGACTTCTTGCCAGCCTGCACACCAGTCGAACTGCTTACCACAACCACAAGGTATGTATACATCCCTATGTAAACCTAAAAAATGTAATTATCATTCTTAAAAACAATTTAATCAGTTAGGATTTTAAGTCTCAGTGAAATGGAACATCTAATTGCACACATTTGACATTTAGCTTGAAGAACGCTGAGTACTTTTTTAAGCCTGTATGATTGTAGTAAGCCAACACAAGTGCTCGGAAATTTGACAAATGGTGTGTAGAATTCTTTTAGTGCTTGTACATAATTTATCAGTTACAGTTTGTTCAGCCACCACATTCTCAGAAGTCTGTTGGGATGCACTCAAGTATTTTGTGGTGGTAGATCTGCCTATCTTCTACATCACTTGTGAAACATTTCTTGTAATGCTTGTGTGCTTCTTTCAGGACCAGTCCTTGTTGAGTAACGCAGTGCAATGCCTAAATGGCTGCAGTCGTGAGGGGAGGGAGCTCGACCCTGATGTTTTCCAGAGGCTTGTAATCACGGCCCGCTCCATTGCAATCATGAGACCCAACAACTTGGTGCATTTCACAGAAACAAAGTCATTACACCATGACTCTGGTAAGATAATAATTAGCTGTTGACAAATTTTGCCCAATATTAAGGAATATCCATTTAGTGTGAGTAATGGATCAGCTAAAATGGGTTAGGGGTATGTGTAGTTAGGAGACTAAGTGGTCCAAAAGTGCCAAATAAGAGTCATTCATGTTTCTCTGTTTTAATCCAGAAATGACTGAAGATGGACAAAAACGTGTGGATGGTGAAAGCTGTAATTTCATCACGCAGCTCATGAATAATTTCTGGAAGCTTCATGCCCTCAAACCAAAGAACGCCTTCCTTGCCCCTGCTTGCCTGCCTGGTAAATGCAAACATTTAGACACCAACGTTTTTTGTGTTTTATTTATATATAAAATGAGTCAATACTGTGTCGACAGTTGCAAGATTGTAAACATGTTTTTTTCTCTTACTAAGGCCTCACTCATGTGGAAGCAACAGTAAATGCCTTGGTGGACATCATCCATGCGTACTGTGCATGTGAATTGGATTACATCAATGTTGCCTCCAAAATCTACATGCAGATGTTACTATGTCCTGTAAGTACCAAACCTTTATCACTGGAATTACAATTTTTGATATTGTAAGAATGTGTTGAAATATTGAATCACAAACGTTGACAAATTGTGATTTTCTACATTCAAGGTGAGAAAAACACTGTTGCTGTTGAGCCTCACCACCATAAAAGTTTATCTACTTTCTTATTATTTTTATTTACAATTAGGATAGTAGGTGTCAAAAGCACTTTGAACACATCCGGTAACTATTGTGTATTTAAACCAATTCCAGGACACCGCTGTCAGCTTTGCTTGTAAGCAGGCTCTGATCCGAGTTCTTAGACCAAGAAATAAACGGCGACATGTGACCCTCCCGTCTCCCCCACGCTCCAACACACCCATGGGTAAGTTTGTACATTATTTTATAGAAAACCTCAATTAACAATATAAACTGTATGTTGCTAGATGTGATTGAAGGCAATTTTGTCGAGTCAAGTATAATAATCTTCAAGTTCCTCTGGTTTCGATGTTACAAGGTACTAGATAGGTTCAGTAAAAAAAAAAAAATCTTTACAATCTCAATACATGCCAATAATAAAACAAAGTTTAATCAATTATCTGCTGATGCTCCTATGATCACATATGGATTCAGTTCAGTAAAACTGTTGGATATTTTCTTTTACCAGGAGACAAGGATGATGATGACGATGATGATGCAGATGACAAAATGCAGTCATCAGTGCTGACCGGAGGAGAAGAAAGTAGACAGGAGAGTCAGGAGCAGAATGAAGTGGACCACGGTGACTTTGAGATGGTGGTGAGCAAAAAGGGGCGATTTATTCTGCGGGTTGTGATCGACACTTCTCCTGCATTGTTTTTACTGTGTGAGGACACTGATGTTGACTTAAGTCTTCACACAGAGGAAAATAAATCATTTGAAATGTATAACTTAAAAGATCTTTTTGGAATTGTCATTTAGTCAGTAGGGATGCAGCATATAACAGTCATATACAGCCATGTCAGGCTTTGTGGAATATATCAACCAGGTGCATCCCTGATAGTTGGTGTATGAGTTTATTATATCTTCAGATATACATTTTAGTTGCACACTGTTTTCTGTTGAGAAACATGGCACAGACAGAAATGTTACAATGTTTGTTGTTCTGCCTCTTTAGTCTGAGTCCATGGTCCTGGATACAGCAGAGAATGTCAATAATGGAAATCCGTCTCCCCTTGAGGCTCTGCTGGCTGGAGCCGAGGGTTTCCCCCCCATGCTGGACATCCCACCTGATGCGGATGATGAAACTATGGTCGAGCTCGCCATCGCTCTCAGCCTTCAGCAGGATCAACAAGGTAAGAGGCCAGACATGTGTGGTAGTCCTACTTTACATTCCAACACACTGCACTGCATGGATGTGTTGAGTGGTTGTAAGTCATTCTGGGAGATAAGTTTTGAGTGTCCTATAACCTGAAACTAATATGGACCTTGAAATAAAGCTAAATAATGATAACAATGCACTTGCCGCAAAACTGAAACTTTGAAATCTTTAGATTCAACCTTAGCCTTCTATTTCCTTGAACTTAGGTTACATTGAATTCCTAACTTGTCAAACATTATTGAATTTGCATGTCATTTAGGTCACATATTTCTATAAATACTTCCAAAGTGAGTTATCATCTTTGAGATTGGTATGTTGGGTAAGCTTTTCTATCTTTTGCCATTTTTCAGGCAGTAGCAGCAGTGCCCTCGGCCTACAGAGCCTTGGCCTGTCTGGCCAGGCTCCAAGCTCCTCTTCACTTGATGCTGGCACTCTTTCAGACACCACAGCATCAGGTAATAAGACTACCTCTGTGATAGAATATGTAATATGTAAATATGCTATAACTGTAAGCTCACAGTGGGGATCTATACCACAAGATGCTTACATTTTTTTTAATCTTAGATACAATTTTTACGTATAAAATGCCAAAATCTAACGGTGAATGTAAATGACCACTGATCACACATCCAAACTTAAAGAAGAATAAATAACAACCCATCATTTCAGGTCTTATTGATTGCAAGTGCACAAGTGTAGACTAAGATCATATATCATGGCCAGATGAATACTGCATATTTACTGTTACAGTTTTTGCTTTGATTTCAGCCCCGGCGTCAGATGACGAGGGCAGCACAGCTGCTACTGATGGTTCCACGTTGCGGACATCCCCAGCGGAGCACGGAGGCAGTGTGGGCTCAGAGAGTGGAGGGTCTGCAATAGACTCTGTTGCAGGGGAGCACAGTGGTAGGTGGTTTCAAGAAAAACAACCGTAATTGCCGACATTACTTAATGCAAGATACTGTTTTTCTTAATGTCAGACTTAAATGTCTTAAATGATAGGGTTGATGATTATTCAATGTTTGTAGACTAGTTTTCAGACCTTGCCCCTTTTTTAATGAAATATAATCTTAACAACCTTCTTAATACAGTTGTCTGTAGTTTATATATCAGTACACATGGTACTTCCCACACCCTTTCCTTTCCCCATACCGCAGTCTGAGGTTATGGTATCCCCATAATCTGGCATGAAGGTTAGCACTTACTTATTATATGCAACTATGTTTCCAGTTTACTTAGTTTCATTTGTGCATGCATTTGTTCAGTGTCAGGACGCAGCAGTGCATATGGTGACACGACGGTGGAGGGCCATCCTGCCGGTCCAGGCAGTGTGAGTTCCAGCACTGGAGCCATCAGTACCACCACAGCCCAGCAGGAAGGCGAAGGCTCGGAGGGAGAAGGGGAAACAGAGGGAGACATTCACACAAGCAACAGGTCAGACACCCCAAACTTGAATGAGGAGTTAAGATCAAATAGAAATGTTCAATCTCATTGACAGCTAACCCCTGCCTGCTTAAGTGTAGAGAGACATTCTCCCACCATTAATGGGTATTCATGTGTTTGAGGGCAGGAAAGAGATGTCGGAAAATGTAGTTGCATTTGATAAGAAAACTCGACATGGTATATTCAGATGCAAAACTGTTTCCCCCTTTTTGTTTTCTTTGTCATTAGGCTGCACATGGTTCGTCTTATGCTCCTGGAGCGCTTGCTTCAGCACCTTTCTCAGCTCCACAATGTAGGTGGAGTCCAAGCCATTCCTTACATGCAGGTAATCCTCATGTTGACCTCTGACCTGGATGGCGAGGATGAAAAGGATAAGGGCGCCTTGGATGACCTGCTTGCACAGCTCATTGCCGAGCTTGGCATGCACAAGAAGGTAACCAAGGTCTCATTATGATGAATTAGGCTTTGTGTTTTCGTTTTACTGAATCCATGTTATTCTTTTGCAGGATGTGTCCAAGAAGAATGAGCGTAGTTCCATCAATGAAGTTCACCTGGTCATCATGAGACTGCTCAGCGTCTTTATGTCTCGAACCAAGTCTGGATCTAAATCTTCGTCTGAGGTACCTCCTCTTTCTTTTCTTAGTACTGAATAACTAATGAAATATATTATTATTTTAAACCAATATTTGCTTAGTGCCAAAAAAGACATGTCTGGATTTAGATGTTTCAGCAGGAGTTTTGGTCTCCTGAACTCGACACAACACTGTGCATAATGGACAACACCAGCCAATAGAACATGACTCAAATGTAGTTTTCAGTGTGGAACAATTTGTGCGTAACACACATACTTTCTTGCTTGTTTAGAAATAAAGTTGATGGCACTGCTATGAATTTTAACAGCTGCTGTATACCCCTCTCTCTTCCAGTCATCCTCCCTGATTTCCAACGCCACAGCGACTGCCTTGCTTAGCCTGGGTGCCATTGACTACTGTCTCCATGTGCTCAAGTCGCTCCTGGAGTTTTGGAAGAGCCAACAGGGCGAAGAGGAGCCTGTGACCACCAGCCAGCTCCTCCGTCCACACACGGCCTCCTCTCCTCCAGACATGAGTCCTTTCTTCCTACGCCAATATGTCAAGGTATCACACAACAGCAATCGTTTTTAGCACTGTAACATGAAAGCTTATTGTTTTGTAAGTTACGTTAATGTGAACTAACTGTTGTTCCTGGCACCAGGGTCATGCTGCTGATGTATTTGAAGCCTACTCTCAACTGTTGACGGAAATGGTGCTGCGGCTGCCATATCAGATCAAGAAGATTGCGGACACCAACCCTCGTATCCCTCCTCCTGTCTTTGACCACTCCTGGTTCTACTATCTGTCCGAAGTAAGCTATTGAGTGTTTTACTTGAATTTTCTTTTAGATTAAGATTCAGTGTTTGTCTTCAGGTAAGAATAAACCTTTAACTCTCTGACTGTTTTTTCCTCAGTATCTGATGATCCAGCAGACTCCATTTGTCAGGAGGCAAGTTAGAAAGCTGTTGCTATTTATTTGTGGCTCCAAGGAAAAGTATCGTCAGCTGCGAGACCTGCACACTCTTGACTCCCATGTGCGCAGCATCAAGAAGCTTCTGGAGGAACAGGGCATCTTCCTTCGGGCCGGTGTGGTCACAGCCACATCTGGCTCAGCTCTGCAGTACGACACTCTAATCAGTCTGGTGAGTGTCCTGTGAACAGTTTTTAGAATAACTTGGACAGAGTAAATACCCCCTTTTCACTGTGATTACGTCTGCCCATTGCTATAAGAACTGTGATTCTTATCTTCCTTCGTGTGCTTAAATTGAATATGTTTCTCTTGTTTCAGATGGAACATCTGAAAGCTTGCGCTGAAATTGCCACTCAGAGGACAATCAACTGGCAGAAATTCTGCATGAAGGACGACTGTAAGTTCTTTCATATCAGTTTTGATACTGGAAACAAACAAATGTTTAAGGCCAGTACTGTTAACAGTATTTTTCCCTCTTCTTACTCTTCTCGTCTCTCTCCAGCTGTGTTGTACTTCCTGCTCCAGGTTAGCTTCCTTGTGGATGAGGGCGTTTCCCCAGTATTGCTGCAACTGCTCTCATGTGCCCTGTGTGGCAGTAAGGTGTTGGCAAACTCCTCCTCTTCATCATTCTCTGGAGGCTCCAGTAGTGCTGGACAGACAGGAGGTTCTCAGTCCTCTCAGAGCAAGTCCTCCAGTAAAAAGAGCAAAAAAGAAGACAAGGAGAAAGACAAAGAGGGTGATTTCTCATACTACATGCGGCTTCAAGCCACCCTCTGAACCTGAATAGGATATTTAAAAAATGGACAATAGATGCTAGTGTCCTGACTGTGTTGTATCTTTTTGAACTGACCACAGGTGATGGTGTTGGCAGCCAGGAGGATCAGCTGTGTATGGGTCTAGTCAGTCAGCTCAACAAGTTTGCAGACAAGGAGACACTCATCCAGTTTCTGCGCTGCTTTCTGTTAGAGTCAAACTCATCTGCTGTGCGCTGGCAAGCACACTGCCTGGCTCTTCACATCTACAGGTACTGTTAAAACACATGACATAGACAGCCTTATTGAGTATTTGTCTAAATATTGACTAGTTTAACTATAATACAAACAGTTATAGCATAAATAAACTGTTAATCCTTTAACAAAAGCATGACTAAATTAGTAAATAGTTGAATCATAACCTGGGACACTGGCTGACATCTGAATCTCTGCAGGAATTCCAATAAATCTCAGCAAGAGCTTCTGCTGGAACTGACCTGGGCCATCTGGCCTGAGCTCCCTGCATATGGCCGGAAAGCTGCCCAGTTTGTCGACCTGCTTGGATACTTCTCACTCAAAACTCCTCAGACAGAGAAAAAGGTTTGTTTCAAGGTTTCACAAGCTCTGGTTCTAGAGATGTCTGGATATTATTTTGTCACATTCTACATTGGAACGTCCTCACAGCAGATAAATAGCGTTAAATTGGTTATTCTGGCACATTTTCATTTATGTTTATTAATATGTATCATCCCTCCTAAATAAACCTGTAGATAACATGGACTATATGTCTTCATGTTTCTACTTTGTTTGAAAATATAATTTGCAAGCCTTGTTTTTGCCCACAATTTTTCAACCAGTGAATTATTACTCAGCCACAGTGTGGACATGGTTGTGTTTGTAATGTACAGGTTGAAGCACTTATTCTGGATGTGTTTTCATAATTTGTGTAAAATTGTTTTCCTTTCCTGTTCCAGCTAAAGGAATATTCCCAAAAAGCTGTGGAAATTCTGAGGGCACAGAACCATATCCTGACAAATCACCCCAACTCCAACATCTACAAGTATGTCTATACAAACATGCTATCTTGAATAAAACAATTTCAACCAGTGGACATCTACATAAAACTCTTCTGTTGTCTTTGTGTTCTCTCCTGCAGCACTCTGTCAGGTTTAGTGGAGTTTGATGGTTTTTTCCTGGAGAGTGACCCCTGCTTGGTATGCAACAATCCAGAGGTTCCCTTCTCGGTATGTGCAACACAACTTCCCCTAGTGGACTCAATATATTTTAAAACTGTTTCACAGCAAATGTCGTTAAAAGAATCCTAATGCAAGTTTTCTACATTCCTGTAAATATGCATTTTGCATTGGTTAAGTGTTTCTATTTCATCTTGGCTTAGTAATTTGAATAGGTAATATACAGTGTGGCAGGTTTATGCTTATTTCTCTATCTTATAAAAGCCAATTATCACAACAATCATAATAAAACATTAAAAACAAATACTGCTACTTAGACTTTACTGGCATAATCACAGTTTATCAAGGATTTTTAAAGTTTGAGTGTCTTGTATTTCTCCTCTAGAATATAAAACTGTCATCGATCAAAGTGGACACCCGCTACACCACCACACAGCAAGTCGTCAAGCTCATTGGTAGCCACACCATCAGCAAAGTCACCGTGAAGATAGGTGACCTCAAACGCACCAAAATGGTCCGCACAATCAATCTGTACTACAACAACCGGACAGTACAGGCTATCGTAGAGCTGAAGAACAAGTATGTCACAACAAAGAGCTGCTGGTCTTATTGAACAATGACATTAAGATACTAAGATTCCATAATACCTGCACCCACTTTAACAATATAAAATTAAAGTTCTCTGCTGTATTTTTGTAGGCCTGCTCGATGGCACAAAGCCAAGAAGGTTCAACTGACACCGGGACAAACCGAGGTGAAGATCGACCTTCCCTTACCCATTGTTGCTTCCAACCTGATGATTGAGTTCTCTGACTTTTACGAGAACTACCAGGCCTCCACTGAGACCCTGCAGTGTCCCCGCTGCAGTGCTTCTGTGCCCGCCAACCCCGGGGTGTGTGGCAACTGCGGTGAGAATGTGTATCAGTGCCACAAGTGCAGGTGAGCAACAGGTTTCCTTTGCTGTTCTGAAAAGATAATTGGAGACAGTGAAGTTGAATTATATTTAACCTTCCTGGTTGTCTCCTATTAGGTCCATCAACTACGATGAAAAAGACCCCTTCCTGTGCAATGCCTGTGGTTTCTGCAAATATGCCCGATTTGACTTCATGCTTTACGCTAAGCCATGCTGTGCTGTGGATCCCATCGAGAATGAGGAAGACAGGAAGAAGGTAAGCAATTATCTGCTGAGAAAGACATGAAAGTGAAAAAGAAAGATGGCAAAATGGCCTCTACCATTCCTAAACATCAGTTTACATGCCAGTTTTTTTTTACTGAGGAAAGAAGAGTGAAGTAAATTTTGCTGAGTGGATTTTGGTGTCTATCTCTTTGCCTTCATCTTTTCTTTAGTCTGCCTCCATTCATTCTTGTCTTTGTTGTTTCTGTAGGCTGTAACCAACATCAACACACTGCTGGACAAAGCTGACAGGGTCTACCACCAGCTGATGGGACACCGACCCCAGTTAGAAAGCCTCCTGTCTAAAGTCAATGAGGCAGCACCAGAAAAGCCACAGGTCAGTCTTCACATGGAGAGCATGGATAGTTCATGTTCTTATTCTGTCTAATATTAGATGTTGTTTCAAAGGGGGCATAAATATGTTTTAGGCCACTTTGCACACATTGTACATAACAGGGCTATTTTTTTGTTTATTGTTTAAAAACATCTCTGAAAAGCTATAATAGCAGTTGACCTACGGTATTTGGTATATTTGTAATGCATGATAGTGAATGAAAAGTGTTTGAAGACACTTCAGTAGAAAGTAACATTTAAAAGCCTGTTTTTTAATATGAACGATTTTAATCCCTTTAGGATGACACAGGAGCAGGTGCAGGACTTGGTGCATCCTCTGCTAATGTGAACCGGTACATTCAGCAGCTGGCTCAAGAGTACAGCGGTGACTGCAAGACATCATTTGATGAACTCTCCAAGATCATACAGGTTAGAGAGGAAAAAAGATATTTTATTCATAAACTGGTAGTATTTGTTTTTACCTTTATTTCTATTTTCTTCTCCTCATATGCAACTCTGGCATTTTCTCTTTGTTTACAGAAAGTGCTTGCATCTCGCAAAGAGCTCCTGGAGTACGATCTGCAGCAAAGAGAGGCTGCCACCAAGTCATCTCGAAGCAGTAGCAGCCACCAGCCCACCTTCACCGCCAGTCAGTACCGTGCCCTCTCTGTGCTGGGCTGCGGCCACACGTCCTCGACCAAGTGCTATGGCTGTGCCTCAGCTGTCACAGGTCACTGTATCACACTGCTCCGTGCTCTGGCCACTAACCCAGCCCTCCGGCAGATCCTGGTCCTCCAGGGGCTCATCCGGGAGCTTTTTGAGTACAACCTGCGACGTGGTACAGCAGCCATGAGGGAGGAGGTGCGCCAGCTGGTCTGTCTCCTCACCAGGTATGTCCCTCCCTCACATGTCCAGTCACAAGATGTTCTACTTTTTGTGATTATTGATATAGTAAAGCAAAGTATTTATTATTTAATGCTCTGTCACTTATGTTTTCCTGCTTCAGAGATCATCCAGAAGCCACTCAACAGATGAATGACCTCATCATTGCTAAGGTGTCAGCAGCCCTTAAAGGGCACTGGGCGAATCCTGACCTGGTATGTCCTCTTAGTGTCTTGTTATTTAAAGTTTTAATTTTGGAAGACCACATTCATATTAAGAGCAGAGCCTCTGGGTTGAGCATTTTAGAAATTACAGTTTTCATATGTACATCAACATCTTGTTTTCCCAACAGGTTAGCAATCTGCAGTATGAGATGCTGCTGCTGACGGACTCAATTTCCAAAGAGGGAGGATGCTGGGAGTTGCGGTTACGTTGTGGTAAGCTTATCTTATTACCTCTTGAAAAGAGGGTGGACTTTTTTTTTTTTTTTACCATATTTTTACTCATTACAGCTGAAGTCTGTGTCTAAGAGCAATGTATGTTTTTGTTCACAGCTCTTAGTCTGTTCCTCATGTCGGTGAATATAAAGACGCCTGTTGTGGTGGAGAACATCACCCTCATGTGTCTGAGAATCCTGCAAAAGCTGATCAAGCCCCCTGCCCCCACTAGCAAGAAGAACAAGGTATTTTATCTTCCTTTACATGGTTATGGTGGCAGTTGTGTAGTTTAGATAGAATATGATAGGTTGAAGACATTTTGATAACCCAGCAGACATTAGGACAAAACTTATAATTTGTCCATTTTGTAAGCTGAAATCTAATAATTAATCATTTTCATATTTCATTTATGACTATTGGTTATTTCATGTTCCCTTTCACAATTGTTTGTGTTTGCTTTTTTTCAAAGGATGCTGCTACTGAGTCCCTGACCACAGTCAGGCCCTACAGTAATGAAATCCATGCACAGGCCCAACTCTGGCTCAAGAAGGACCCCAAAGCATCTTATGAGGCCTGGAAAAAATGCCTCCCAGCAAGATGTAAGTAGAACAAAACAAGCATCCTATATCATTGTTGAAGAATGCTCTTATTTATTTTTGCTGTGAGATAAAGAAAACTTTTGATGACAATCTTTTCCTTTTGTATCTTGATACCTAAAGGCCAGGAGACTGTGTCAAAACCTCAGGGCAAGTCTGAATTGCGGAAGCAATATCTTCTTGAGAAGTATGTGTGGAAATGGAAGCAATTTATGAGGTCAAGAAAAGGTGAAGGCCTTTTCCCTCGCCTGCTCAAACTGAGTCACAACAACTGGCTGCGACAGGTAAAAAAAACAGTTGAGGTGATATTTCAAATACCGGATTGTTGCTATATTGATAATAAGTCACAAAAAGTCACATACAGATACCTTTTGATTTTTACCATTACTAAATTTATAACTGGGAAATACTAATACATTTTTTGGGGTTTGTAATTTCATAGACTAATTTATGCATCCTCTTTTCACAGGTCCTTTTCACACCTGCCACTCAGGCAGCGAGACAGGCTGCTTGCACTATTGTGGAGGCTCTTACAACAATCCCCAGTCGCAAGCAGCAGGTCTTGGATCTGCTCACCAGGTAATGAGCCTCAAACAGTAAAAACAAATGATCATACTGTGTGACATTAAGTAAGCAGATTACATTGAGACGTTGAATTGTATATGATAGTAAATATACAACAGTATGTTGCATTAATAAGTATGTCAGCAATCACAGTAAAATGTTACAGAAATTGCCTTGCAGCTTTACAAAAAATGCTACTCATACCTACAAGTGAAAAATGTGTTTGGGAGACTGAAACTATGTTTTTCCACAAAGCTTAGCTGTAAACTTGACTTTGACCTAAAACCCAAAAGTTAACTTTTTGCTGTGTGTCTATCAGTTATCTGGATGAGCTGAGTGTAGCTGGAGAGTGTGCAGTGGAGTATCTGGGTCTGTACCAGAAGCTGATCAAACCGACACATTGGAAGGTCTACCTGGCTGCCCGCGGAGTCCTGCCCTACATCGGTAACCTGATCACCAAGGTAACGCTCTCAAGTTCAAGAGAAACGTATCTGTATGTGCCACTAGTTTCCTTAAACTAAAATAGAATGGGATTTTATTGGATACAGTGAAATACATGGGCAAGACATTCTGCAAAACCACATTTCTCTTTTATATGTTTTACTCCTTTTAAAACATTGAGTTCTATACTGGAAATCAATATGCAGAGTATTCATACTAATAGCATGATAGTAAAACTGAATCTGTTAATCCTCTGTTTAGGAAATAGCCAATCTGCTTTCTCTGGAGGAGGCTACACTGAGCACAGACTTGCAACAAGGCTACGCCCTCAAGAGCTTGACTGGTATGTTTGTTTTAGCACAACTGTTGAAGTATTTGAACTGCAAAGTAAACTTTAATATTTAATACATTCATTTTAATTAATGATTACATTATTTTGTTTCTATGTCTGTTTCAAGTACTTAAATGATGTGTGTAATTATTTTGTGTGTCATTGCAGGATTGCTCTCATCTTTCGTGGAGGTGGAATCCATTAAGCGACATTTTAAAAGTAGATTGGTCGGCACAGTGCTTAACGGTTATCTGTGCCTGAGAAAGCTGGTGGTGCAGCGCACCAAACTCATCGATGAGACTCAGGACATGCTGCTTGAGATGCTGGAGGACATGACGACAGGTCTGCACTGACAGTTTTAAGAAGAAATTCAATTGCTTGGAGTCATTTAAGTCTTTCTTGACCAGTTTCAGCTCTGAAATATAGTCATAACACAAAGTATAAATTGTAAATCTACCCCTGCTTTCTGCAGAATTAATAACGCACCAAAACATTTTATTAAATCAAGTAATTTACTAGCCTGACATTACCAGACTAGGGCACATACTAAATGTGCATAGAGATTCACAATTTTTAATTAGTCAAACATTCAATCCCCTGTAATTTTCAAGGAGAAACAAAGGTTGCAGACTTTGGCAAACTGCAAATAAATAAGATGTAAATTGTAAAATTATACTTCTACCATATACCATCTGTAGTAAGGAAAACACATCTTTAATTTTTTATTATTATTATAGAGAGATTATATCGTCCAGTTGGTTTAATACTGTCACATAATAGACCTCTCCACATTGACAGCAGCTGTCTTGGTTGTTGAAATGCTTCAGTGACACCCCTCTGTCTTCATCAACACGTTAGATAAATAGTTGTCATTGCCCTGGACAGTTTCAGATTTAATGGTTTGGTTTCCAAGCTAGTAAAACAGCAGAGGCTGTTCTATATTGTTGATTTGTTTAAAACAGTTTGTAAATCTTGTTGCATTGCTCATAGGTACCGAATCTGAAACCAAAGCCTTCATGGCAGTGTGCATAGAGACTGCAAAACGATACAACCTGGATGACTACAGGACACCTGTGTTCATTTTTGAGAGGCTGTGCAGCATCATCTATCCAGTAAGTGACCTTCACCTTTATTCTTTTACATGTCCTCCATTGTTCTAGAAGTTGGTGTAGCTTTGAGTTGGTCTTCGTCTGTAACTTGTGTTTCATCCTCTGCGTCTAGGAGGAGAATGAGGTGACAGAGTTCTTTGTGACCCTTGAGAAGGATCCTCAGCAGGAGGACTTCCTGCAGGGCCGCATGCCAGGAAACCCCTACAGCAGCAACGAGCCTGGCATCGGCCCACTCATGAGGGACATCAAGAACAAGATCTGTCAAGACTGCGACCTGGTGGCACTTCTTGAAGATGACAGTGGCATGGAGGTAAAGTGACCCTGGATTTCCACCCCTGGATTTCCACCACTCTTATTTCATCCACTTTGTACACTTGCTTTTTTCAATCCCTTCTCTGTTTCTCATGGAATTCTGAACGCTGACTTGTTAGAAGTTATTGATTTGATGCCGCCCTGTTCCCTTTAGCTTCTGGTAAACAACAAAATCATCAGCTTGGATCTGTCAGTGGCTGAGGTCTACAAGAAGGTGTGGTGCCCTACGAACGAGGTGAGAGTCCTTGTCAGTTTGTCAATGAATGAGTAATACTTTGAAAGACATTACACTTTGTGCCGTTAAACTGTCATCAAAAGGTGACGGGACTCTAAAGATCAATAAGGCAATCAGTGTTGGTCATGGAGCCTGCTTCCTTTGTTTTTCAAGGGAGAACCAATGAGAATCATCTATCGAATGAGAGGCCTGCTGGGAGATGCAACTGAGGAGTTCATTGAATCACTGGACTCAACCACAGGTTTGATTTACTATGAATATACTTTTTGTTTGGGATTCTGAGTCATTTAAACTTCAATTATATCATGTGTATCAGAGATGGTCACTAATATTTGAGCCACTGTGCTTGTAATCAGTACATTCTTGGAAGAAGTGGAAAAGATTTATTTTATCTCTATTGACAAAATATTTTTTCTACATATTTTTACATTTTACAGATGAGGAGGAGGATGATGAGGAAGTGTACAAGATGGCAGGAGTGATGGCCCAGTGTGGAGGACTGGAGTGTATGCTCAACCGGCTGTCTGGAATCAAAGATTTCAAACAAGGAAGGCATCTGCTCACTGTAAGATGATATTTGTTTTACATTATGACTAATCTTTATTCTCTTGACCTTTTAAAGCAATCTAAAGCTATAATTAAAATTAATTGTTTGGTATATAAAACATCAGAAAAAGTGCTTATAACAATTTCCCTTGAACACTAGGTGGTGCCATTAAGTATTTTATTTTGTCTGATTCAAGAGTGCAAACTCCCAAAACAATTCAGTTTCTAAAAGAAATCCATATTTAAGAACAAAATTTATTCTGATAACAGTAAAAACAAGGCAATCAATTGACCGGTGTCTATGTGTCTTTCTCAGGTTTTACTGAAGCTGTTCAGTTATTGTGTGAAGGTGAAGATCAACAGGCAGCAGTTGGTCAAACCAGAAATGAACACGCTCAATGTCATGCTGGGAACTCTGAACCTGGTGAGTTTGTGTTGTGTTGTCTGGTTTCTGGGCAGGAGGGTGAAAATTCTGCAATTCATCAATTATTTTGTTTCACTTCAGGCTCTAGTGGCAGAACAAGAGAGTAAGGACAGTGGTGGAGCCTCCATAGCAGAGCAAGTCCTGAGCATCATGGAAATCATTCTGGATGAAGCCAACGCAGAGATTTCTGAGGACAAGGTGAGAATTCAAACCTCTGAATAAAAATCCAGTGACCAAGGACTCTGGAACTCTTTATTTATACATTTAAATGGGAATTGTTTTGCAGGGTAACCTGCTGCTGACAGGAGACAAAGATCAGCTGGTCATGTTATTAGACCAGATCAACACCCCGTTTGTGCGCTCCAACCCCAGCGTGCTGCAGGGTCTGCTGCGCATCATCCCATATCTGTCCTTCGGTGAACTGGAGAAGATGAGGATCCTGGTGGAACGCTTCAAACCGTGTTGCAGCTTTGACAAGTAGGCAACATTAGCTTTTACTTAGGTCAATTTAATCAAATAATGTAAAATGCATAGAAACACTGTCAGTCATTATAGTTGTTACATTATTAAACCAATCAAGGGGACCATTTTAAACTGTCGTATGAAAACTTACCACTTGATTTGTTTTTTTAAGGTATGACGAGGAACATAGCGCAGACGACAAAGTGTTTCTGGATTGCTTCTGTAAAATCGCTGCTGGTATCAAAAACAACAGCAACGGCCATCAGCTGAAAGATCTTATTCTTCAAAAGGGAATCACACAGAGTGCTCTGGACTACATGAAGAAACATATCCCAAATGCCAAAAAGTAGGCATCCCAGAGTCAAATCAAAACCTTTCATATAATTAAGTATTTGCACTTCATTGCTCTAACTATCGTCTTTATGTTCTGAACTCATTAGTCTGGATGCAGATGTCTGGAAGAAGTTCCTCTCCAGACCAGCTTTACCCTTCATTCTCAGATTGCTTCGTGGTTTGGCTACACAACACCCCCCCACACAGGTACAAAATACTAAACGCTATCAGAGCTGATTACGCATAAGAAATATTACATGTACCATTAAAAATTGAGGGTCTGCTTGCAAACTCAGCATCAACTTTGTGTGCAAACACACACATTGCTATGTAACACAACTGAATTTGTTCTCATCATCTGTCCAGGTGCTGATAGGCACAGATTCAATCACCAACTTGCACAAGCTGGAGCAGGTATCCAGTGATGAAGGCATTGGCACACTGGCGGAGAACCTTCTGGAGGCGCTGAGGGAGCACAGTGACGTCAACCTGAAGATTGAAGCAGCCCGCAGGGAGACCAGATCTGAGAAGAAGCGTATGGCGATGGCCATGAGGCAAAAGGCCCTGGGAACACTGGGCATGACGGTACGCATTTCTTATCTTATCGAACATCTTTATTTCATCACTGCCACTTTGTTTTACCATGTCAGTGACACAGATCCGTATTATGTTGTTGATTCTTGTGTGTTTTCCTTTCAGACCAATGAGAAGGGTCAGGTGGTGACCAAGACCTCACTGTTGAAGCAAATGGAGGAGTTGATAGAAGAGCCAGGCTTAACCTGCTGTATCTGTAGAGAAGGCTACAAGTTCCAGGTACAACAACACACTATGATTTCATATAGTGTTAAACGGGTCAAATTTAAGAAAATAATACATACCGTATGTATATATGAGTTATTTTTGTTTCATGCTTGTGACCATATTGCAGAAAAAGATGATAAGTGAGGTGATAAATGAGAGAAAAGGTTTTACCCTGTGTACAGATCATTCAGCCGTCCTCTTGTGTATCGAACAGATTTGTGGGGTCTTAAAGTAACATTTTCGTCCTTGTGTCTGATCGTAGCCAACCAAAGTCCTGGGTATTTACACTTTCACAAAGCGTGTGGCCTTGGAGGACTTCGAAAACAAGCCTCGCAAGCAGCAGGGCTACAGCACTGTGTCGCACTTTAACATAGTTCACTATGACTGCCATCTGGCTGCTGTCAGGTAACAATGAATATCATATACTTGCTGATATTTACAGAACTGTAAATTTGTCACAGTTGATCTGAGCTTTTCATTTTTTCCTCTCCCTGTGGTAGGCTGGCACGAGGGCGAGAGGAGTGGGAGAGTGCTGCTCTCCAGAACGCCAACACCAAGTGCAATGGGCTGCTTCCTGTTTGGGGGCCACATGTTCCAGAATCAGCCTTTGCTACATGCTTAGCAAGGTAAGTTGATGCATCAGCACGGACACAGCAAAAGTTCCACTTCATAAGGCACACGGTGAATCAAAACCCACTGGACGTCTCTCTGCTGCACAGGCACAACACATATCTGCAGGAGTGCACAGGCCAGCGGGAGCCCACGTACCAACTCAACATCCACGACACCAAACTGCTGTTCCTCCGCTTTGCCACTGAACAATCGTTCAGCGTGGACACAGGAGGAGGAGGCCGAGAGAGCAACATCCACCTCATCCCCTACATCATCCACACTGTGCTCTACGTCCTCAACACGTATGTACCTTTCAGAAATTACCCATCAGTGATGATACAATGACACAAACCTTAAGTTCAGGTTCAATGTTACGTGTATTTCTCACCCTCATCTCACTTTACTGTGCAAACTGTCTCTGCAGTACAAGGGCTACGTCTCGGGAGGAGAAGAATCTGCAGAGTTTCCAGGAGCAGCCATGTGAGAAATGGGTGGAGAGCTCATACGATGTTGAAGGACCACACTATTTCACCATCTTGGCTATGCACATCATGCCACCCGAACGCTGGAGGAGTTCACGTATATACTTCCTACGGAGACTCCTGGTAGCCGCACATGCCCGCAAGGTCTCAGCAGTCTGCGCCAACAAGTAGGACACTTATCCTCTTTTTCTATTTTCTGTCTTGTTCTTTCAAAGCTGAAATCTGGTTAAAGCAGCAACATTTAAATCCCCTCAGCTTGGCTTCAACTGATCCGGTGGCTACAAGAAAGTGTTACCAATGTTATCGTGAACGCGTCTCAAATTTTTAATATTCTGATTAAGAAAACCATCTAAAATTGTGTGCGCTGTATTCAAGAGTTGAATTTTGTGTATGTAAAGTTTATCTCCAAATCTGTTTCCTCTGTTTTGTTTTCAGACTCACAGACAAAGCACCAAAGGAATATGCAGTCTATCGCTCGCCTCTACTCTTCTGGGGCCTGGTGGATCTGGTCTATGACATGTTCATGGTAAATGTGTTGGATCTAAATCTCTGTTCATATTGATGCTTTAAACAAATGATATTCTGCTTTGATGCTTTGAGTGACTTGGCACTGATCAGTGCAACAGAATTCAGTTTCAGTCTGATCTTTGCAGGTCTGAAGAGGCAGAGGCATAATTTAATGGAACTTAAGTGTGTGTGAAAATGAATCAGGGTTTAATGAAAATCAAAAACAACTAAAACTTTGTTTAAGTAAGATTTTGAGGCCTCTTTTCTTCAACATTGTTACTTAGATCTTACAATATATTGTAATACTGAGACTAAAACTTCAGCTCCTGACCTGACTCTTTCTTTTTTCTGGCATTACAGAAAGTACCCACCAGTAACACAGAGGGGGGCTGGTCCTTCTCGCTGGCAGAATATGTCCGTCACAACGACATGCCCATCTATGAGGCGTCAGAGCGCGTGCTCAGGGCCTTCCAGGACGAACTCATGCCCGCTGAGTCCTTGTCTGAGTTCTTTGATGTTGTAGGTGAGTAAACATCCAAACCTGATAAACTTCACGACGGAACCATTTAAAATTATAAGATTAAAAGTTGGCAGAAAACCAGCATAAGTGGGACAATCTTCTGTGTTGCAGCTTGAAATGTTTTTACCAGATCTGACCCTTGGCTTTATGTTCTTACCTTGAATAAGTTGTACACTGGGATGTGGCGTTTATTTTAACACAGAACTTGTTTCTTTTCCAGGTCTCCTCTCTGAAATCGCAGACCCAGACATCTTTCTGCGGGATTTGTTGAACTCTTTGCCCTGATGGCAAACATACACCCACACCCCCGGCAACACACAACAGCTCTGCAAATCACATCGAGACACCTACCAACAAAAAAAACCTTCTCTTTTTACAGACTGACACACATGCAGAGTACACACACACACACACACACACACACACACACACACACACACACACACACACACAGTAAACGTCAAGCTTCCTGCTCACCCCCCTCCCCCACACGACATCTTCAATTTAACTTAAAGCTGAATCTATGTGTAGTCTAAAAAAATACACTTCTGGCAAAAGTCTCTAATGTTTAAAACACAAACACCTGTGTACTGGGGCGGGACGCACACACACTAAAACTGAATTTTACGTGTTGCCCTTCTGACTCAAAAGTTGAGGATGTAACTTAGTTTCTCTCTGAGCTCGAGACAAGAGATCAATGAATCTGCTGATTATTAAACCAGGTATGTTTATCGACTGTTGCTGCCAAAAAAATGAAGCTTCACCGTTGCTCAATTTTTTTGTTCAGGACATCACCGATCGTCACAGAATGGCGATCTTAGAGAATCTGGTGATTCATATTTAAAATAAAAAATCATCCGGGTCACGGGCATAACTCAAAAGTTCTGTTTTAGTATGGACGTCGATTTACCGCTCCTCCTAATATTGGGGTGCAATGTTAAGATTACTAAAAATGTTTTGGGATTTGACCCACCACGTATTACGAGTGGCATTTGATTTTATCTTGTTTTCTTTTTTATTTGTTTGGTTTTTGTTTGTTGTTGGTCAGGGTTTTTTTAAATGGAAGGTTTCAGTGTCACATGGTTTTGAGCAGAACTTGTTCCTCTCTTCCAGGCTTTTGCTGTTTGGTCTTCATATAGGTTCTAACTGGAGTTTGAGTGATGCAAAGAAAAAAATGTTTTTTTTGTTTTTGTGTGTGTATGGATTTCTTTTATCAATCTCAGAAGCGAAATGAAGAAAAGAACGATGAATCAAAGTTTTTTAGTTTTTTTTCCATGAAGCTTGGTGTCAAAGTGAATTTTGGACATGTTGAAAGATTCCATCTGTTGCAGTGAAATATCAGACCTGTCTAAATTAATAATAAAACAGACCTACATTATATCCTTTAACCTTTTTCTTTGACTTATTGTTTTTTCGTTTGGTTTTTCTTCCTCCCCCAGCAGCAGTTTCTCTTCTCTGCTCACTTTCCCAGAAATCATTGGTAACACACTTGTGTCAATTCCCAAAACAGATTTCTTAAAAGCAAAGATCGGCTGAGTTTTATCCTCAGTTACTGATCAACTTGAACAGACATTTGAAAAGGTGTCCTTGTACTCGAGTTGTATGCGTGATGTAGAGTTCACCCGGTTTCTTGTTAATTCGCATATTCCTGCTGTTACAATGTTCAACTGTTGCTGAATGTCTGCTTTTTGAATTTAGCATAAGATTAATAAAGCTGTAATAATTCCAATCCGACCCAGGGTAACCTCTTCTGTTCCCCGCTGCTGTTTACACTCTTAAAAAAGATGAATAACCTTCTGTGTCCAGTAAAACGACACATTTCTATCCATGTCCTGTGAAAAGGCTCAGAACAGAAACATTGAAAACACAATGAAATAGGTTGTGGTAGTGCAGAAGCTTCACAACCATAAACCAAAAAACAACCATAATTGGTGACATGTAGATTATATAATAAATTAAAACCTTTTGTGGGAAGAGTAACATCTAACTGTTGTTGACAGGGTTGTGTGTGGTCACCACTACTGATACATGCAGTCACTAGCTCAATACATCAGACAAAATGAAAATATTAATTAGAGGAATTACTAAAGGGATCACCAATTGGCCTGCCATGCAGATGAGTGTTTGATATACCCGTGGCCACCAATATATTCTTTACCTAAACTGATGCTGTCATTCCAACAGTGTGGTAAACTACCAGGATAAAAGATTAACATAGATAAAAGCCAGTTACTCTCATATAACTATAACCCACCTAGAGAAATTTAAAATAAATACCCCTTGGCATGGTAAACAACATCCTTTAAATATGAAGTCAGTGGTGTAGGGTGTGGTTGAAATGTTGTCCTGTTGTCCTGCAGAACAGACAGACAGTTGACTTCCTGATATCCCCCGTACCCCAAGAGGGCACCAGGGGTCACCACACTACCAATAGAGCTAAACCAAGACCAAGATGTTATCTGGGTATATTTGGCTGGATAAAAGTATTTACAAGTTTACAAGTATTTGCTCGTCACTCCCATCATGTCTGTGTAGTCATATCGGGGGAGTGATTGAGTCAACCCTACACTAAACTTGGAAGAGAAGAGAGAACCCATAGGATGCACCTGATGTTGATATTACAACCTAGAACAGTCCGTTCAGTTTCTATTATATTTCCACCTGCTTGTAATCACTAATTATCTCCAGTCTAAGTTACACATTTGAGTCATCTTCTTTGTAGTGTATTTAAATCTTCTTTTAACATGAGGTATACTGTAAAAAGCACATGTCAAATAATAATAATAACTAATAATTAATTCGATTTTTTTATTCAAATATGAACATTGAATGAAATGCAGTTATTTGATTGAAGGAGAAGGACGTTCTGAGGTTTGTTTTAAGGGAACTAGGAGAAGAGGCTGCAACTGTGTGGCTCATATTTTGATGTGTTGCTGCACAGTGACCACTAGATGGTGACACTGGGACATGAGATTGGTAAATTGTTAAGCAGTTTTCAACTGTTTAAAACTGACAGAATGAAGAGAGAATCATTTCTAACACAGATATAAACACTTTATTTTCAACTTGTGTCTGAAAGCACATATTGCACATTTCATTTATGGCACTTCATACACACTTTATATGTAACTTTTCAAAATAATATACGCAATGTGATAAAACATTTACAAAACAAATATGCATTGGCATAAACATTTCACCTTTATACAAAGGAATACAACTCTAAATGAACACGTCCTCAACAACAAGGTCTTTCAGTGACCAGTGGGGAAGACTAAGTTTAGGTTTAAGGCATAGAATGCACATTTTAAGGCTCGTTTGTGGACCAATAAAATCACAGTGTGCGTGGTCATAGACGATGAGTATAAAACTCCAATCATTTCAACTTTTTACAGCAAAAACATCCAAACAAGAAAAGCAACAAAAAAAACGTTTTACATTGTTGTCTTTTTTGGATTAACTGTCCTCCATCCTTCTTCTTCTTCTTTTCTTCTCGACAAGACGTGGAGATGCTCAATGCCTCGGATCGTGTAGATATTCACACACACTCTCCCTCATGTTGTATCACGTGTCCACTCCTCACTGGCAGCACAGTGGAGCCACATCCTCGGCAGGTGAAGGGAACAGCCTCATGGCTTTCCTGGAGGATCTGGTGTAGCCGTTGGGAAAAATCAAGGCCTTCTTCACAGTGAAGAAGGAGACCGTCTTGTCCCACACGTCAGAGCTGGACACCCCTGAGTCGAGTTGGCTCTCCAGGGCCGAACGGAGCCTCTCTGCCCTGTCTGTGCACTTCCTCTCCAAAATCATTATCTTACACAGGCTGAGGACGAGAAGAGAAACATCTGATTAATGTTGAGTATTATAGTAGTTATTTAAAGAGCCTGTTCTCCGAAATCAAGAAAATTCATTGCTTCTAATGATAATATTGGGGATTCCACTTCCACTCTCACAGCACAAGTAAAAATGCATTAAAGACATTTCCACAGAAATGATATTTCTAGAATCAGTTAACATAAGACAAGAAAATATAAAAAGATTAGAAATTATATTTACAGTCTAGACTGAATATTTGTAAAACCCTGAAACCTGATCAAACCTTTGCAAATAAGCCAAATTAGGTTGAAATGACCCTTGAACAGATAATTTTGAACATCTCATCCCAAAGCCAGAACTTAATATTAATAAATATCTCTATCAACCTAAACAACCTTCAATGAGACAATTTGAAGAAGACAAAATGAGCTAAAGATCAGAAACATGAACTTGTTCCACAGATGAGTTCTGAGCTTACGTTGTGTGTTGATCCCTCATGGTGAACGTGTAGTATGATGGCGTCCAGTCAGTCCAGGTCTGTGGGGATATGAGAGGCGTTCAAGGTTCTGATTTCAGCATCTCTTCCATCCTTTATATACTTAAACCAACTTTCCCATCGATTTAATGCGATGCTGGTTCTCACAGTGTTTGGCCAATCACAAAGCAGCGTTATGACAATAGGATGTGAATGAATTAGTTGAATTCATGGGGTACAATGGCCCCCAAACCAAACAAACAGGTGGGAGGGGCCCTTCGCCGGGCCCCTTGTCACTGGGCTGATGCGGAGGTATCCTGAGTATTGTGTGGACTGATATGTGGTGGGAACGTGGAGGAGAAACATCTGCCTGAAGACGACCCACGCAGAAGAGAGGGAAGTTCACACGAAGATGGAGTGTGTCCAGTTTAAGAACATGGTGGAGAGAAGTTCAGTTTAAAGATGTGATCTGAGCTTCCATGTTTTTAATCTAAATATTTACTGAATTTTAATAATCTTTAAAGGTGTAGCGCCTTTAAGAGAAGATTTATTCACAACTGCTAATACTCTACTTTCCTTTGTTGTTATTATTTGTTAGACTTGGTGTTTTTGTTACCTGTTTTTTCCATCATCATATTCTTTTATAATGTGAAACTTTAATAAATCTTTTCTCTTTTTCACTTTTTATCTCACACAATATTTGATATTTAGATAGTTTCCTTCACAAACATCATCAAACTCTATCTTCAAAGTTTCCCCACCACACACACACACACACACACCCTTTTCTTCTTATTTAACTTTCTGTCTCTATTTCATCCCTTCCAATTCTCACGGTGAACGTCTCCCATGCTTGATTGGCTGACAATAGCGTACGATCCGTCCAGATGGTGTGCCTGGAAGCCCTGTTGACAGCCCTGTCTTCATGGGTGTGTGTGTGTGTGTGTGTGTGTGTGTGTGTGTGTGTGTGTGTGTGTTAAGGGGGGTTGGTCAGTCAATCTTTGTTGGAAGGGGCACACTTCCTTTGTGCAGCCGGCCTCAGTGTCATTAACACTGAAGTGTGGGAAGCCTGGGACCACAGTAGCTCCCACGTTCCACACTAGGCAGGAAGGGAGCGTGTGACTGAGACGTGGCCAGCTGCAGGCAGGTCAGCCAGCTGTGTGTGTGTGTGAGTGTGTGAGTGTGAGTGTGTGTGGGAGGGAAAGTGAGCAGGAGTGTGTCTGTCTGTCTGTGTGAGTGTGTGGGGGATTCTCCTGATGTGTGAACATGTGCTCGGAGTGTGGAGGATGTTTACAGTTGTTCTCTAACACCTCAACACATCACAGTCACGTACCATCAAACGACAGATCAGACTGAACTTCAAAAGCACGGACGCTGGCTCCTTATCTCAGGAAGATGACCAATATTCATATAGATTTTTCAATGATACTTATTTGGAGTTTCCAAGTATATAACCTATGTATGTATATAAATATCCACACTAGTCATCTGAACTCTTTATTATTACATAGTCAAGTGTATGCAATTGTATCTTATCTCTCTTTTTAAAAAGTTAAACTAACTGACTCATTATCAAATAACATGGGAAACATCATAAGTTATATATTGTGGTCAACTAACCTGGTTCCTCTGAACTGTGTGGGTGTGATTTGATTGACAGTTGGGGTCTCATTGTAAACACACATAGATCAGTTACAAGATACAAATCCACATATATGCTTTCTCTTTCCTTCATCAAAAAATAAAGGATCTTATTTTTATTCTTCAAACTTGCAGAGAAGAAGCTCTTTCTTTAATCTGCTCCTGGACATCTCAACTGTTGCACACAGGCTCCACGAGGGAAGTCTGCCGTGTCAAACTGGTGGAAGTGGCTGCATGTTGATCTTTTCTAATGGCTGCCCCTCTGTAACACCCACGTGTGCCTGGTGGCGGAGGCACTTTGTGCTCAATTACGTGGCGGTGGAGATGACATGAGACAGCGGCGTGCTCCCCCTCTGGGGTCACCACTTTCCCATATCAACACAAGCACACTGGGTCAGTCTCCCAGCTCTATACGCCACCCCCCCCCCCCCCCCCCCCCCCCCCCCCCTCCCTGCACCCGGGGGCTCTTTCTCTTTGCAGTTTATTCCTCCACCTGCTCCCCAGAGACACACTCATTGTCCCCACGGCTATAAACACTTCATTGAGCATGTGGCAGCCCTGCGTTCCTCAAAGCCCTTCCCAGCGCTCTCATTGGCCCAGGGACTGTGAGAAAGTCCAACAAGCCCAAGACCCACACATTCATATGGAGATGTGGGCGTATAAATAGAGGGCTGAGGCAGAGGGGAAGGCAGCTCAGACTCAACTGGCTCTTCAGACAGAAACACTCTGACACTACAGCAATGGCTCCCACTGTTTTTGGACAAGCAAGCTACTCTAAGGAACACCTGACTCCTGCTC